ACTCACTGGTTTGACTGAAATCCTGCTGCTGCACAATTTTCACATGTTTTTAGATTCGGTTATGGTCGAGAATAAGCTTTAAGCAAAAAAATCAGTTAAAAAAAAAAAAAGCCGCGTCGCCGCACCACTTTTTGGGCAAGCTCCATACCAGAAACCAGAGACTTTTTTGGGGGCCTAAACTTAAGGGTTTCATATAAAAATAATTGATTTCTTGAGTTGACAGTGATACCGGTAGAGTGATTTGTTGTACAGTATGTATAGCGTGTACAATGTAGTCCCTGTATCATGGAGCTACGGTACCCATGTAGCATGAATTTAAGTTTTATGAAATACGGACTCATTGGTGGTATTGCGCATGCTCATGCATAGATAATTTGGAGAGGGACCGATCACGTGAGAGGGTTTAAGCAATAAAAGGGAAAAAGGTTCAGATTTTCGTACGAGTCTCATTTTCATATGACACCGGTACATCTACATGTACACGTATTTGTGATTGCATTGACAGACAGTTTCAGTGATGGTTTGGAGAGAATTGTGAATTTACTTTTTGTTTCTCTTGGCTTTTCTGCAAGCTGGTCCACTCAGTAAAAGTACACATCTACCGTACATGCTGTACCTGGTACCTGTACATGTACCGTAAATCTCTGTGTCCTCGGCACTTTACCAGAAGGTTTGTTCACAAAAGAAATAAAAAATCCCCTTTCATAAGATACCATGAGAGCGTTATGCTTTTTGGCACTTGTTCCGTGTTTTGGTTGTGGCGCATTTGAAAGCCTTGTTTGCACGCTCGAAAGAATTTAGTGACCAAAATATGGTAAACCTGACAGCAAAAATACCATTGTTATGAAAAGCCAAGGCTGGGATTTATGTAAGTGCATTGGCCCTCGTTATTTTTCTGTTGGTCTATTTTTCGCAGTACAGCTTCAAAAATTGTACAGTGACACTTCTTTTCAGACAATTGTACATGTACATTTTTGTAATATACAACATTCGCAAACATCAACCAAGTTATTATGTACAGTACCTTACTTGGTTGTAAGTGAATAATAGTCTCAAGCATCCTGTGAAATCATGGCACCTTGTGTGCTGTCATTTTCAAGAAAAGGGCAATTTTTGTATCAATTTTCATTGACCAACAACCGGCCGACCATCGTTAGTCCACACTTTGTTTGCAATCGGTTACACATCCATGAACGAATGCAAGCCAGCTAGTCTGGTTCCCTGACCTGGCAATTACCTGACGCTGTAAATTGCTCCATTTCGTCTTAAGTAGGTTTAGGGAATCAGACTACAAGAAAAGCTCATTGTTTTTCTTAGTTTTTCCAGCATCTATGAACGCAAAACTGTAAAAAGTCAGTACAATATTTGCTATAAAATATCCCCGAATTTATCCCTTTCTGAAAATTACAGCAAAAGCGAATGTTGTATAGTCAGAGCACCAGTTCTCGTAATACTGGGGTACCGTAGCTCCAGCATAAAATTAGTTGTTAATAGTTCTTTCAGACATGTACTTCAGACTTCAGACTTCAGTAGCTTAAAGGGAAACCAACATTTTGATTTCAAATTTTCATTACGTTTTTTTTTACAATATGCAGTAATCAGCACCATGTGCTTGCTAGGCCTAAAACTATCCTGACATTGGAGTGCAATCTCTTTTTTGTAATAACCTTAATAATAAAAACGAACAAACACAATACAGAAAGTACAAAAACAAGAAATGCTGCAAAAAAGTACTTGAAACTATGAAAATAGGCTGCAACTTTTTTTAGATTAGGCCCCCCCCCCCCCTCAAAAAAAAAAAAGTTCTGCTTCCGGTTTCCCTACCTACCCTATTCTGACAGCCCCTTTTATTGGAAAAATGAGAAAAGTAACACCCAAAACCATCAATTTCTACCTAAACCCTTGACTACATGCAGAAGCCTCCATATGATCGTACACAAACAAATTTGACCAAAAAAAAAATTCCCTATCTACCGTTCCTACCCTGTTTTCAAATGCCATGTAATCGGAAGCAGAACTATTTTTTTTTTTGCCTTAGCTAAATTCCCTTTTAATGTGTACTTCTTCAGTACATGTTCATTGTATTTTCAACCCTCTGCAGAAATTAAAGCTTGTTAAGTTTGGACTTTCCTTCTTTTTTTTTTTGACTTCTTACAATGCTTGAGAAAAGCAACAAAATAAACCACAGCTTGGCAAGGATTAATCATATCTCCAGCGTTCCAAGTTGAATGTGTCTGTAGCCCCAGGCGCATGATGAATGGGGGTCAAGTCAGGTCAGAAGCCATGTGAATGCTGGCTGTTTATTCCCAAAGTTCTGTGATCAATGAGATGCTTGTACTTCAGTCAGCAATTTCTTCTTTTTTTTTAAATGTTCTGTAGCAAACTGTATTATGCATTTTACTTTTTATAGCAACAATACATTTTTGTATAGTATACGTGTGAACTTTTGTACGCCAAAAAGTAAAAAAATTGCCTCACGTTTTGCAATGTGAATTTAGGTTCAGGTACACATGTATGTATAGTGTGTATTATATAACTGTTACATGTATGTACAGATCCTTGTCATTTGATTGGTGGAACTCACATCACGTGACATTCATTATTGCTCCCATTCACGCCGGGGCTCAAAAAGTCCGATTTGCCCATGTTGAATGGGATTTACTATTCAACACATGTAGGATCATCCTTGTTCCATGGCGCAGTATTTGTGTGTGAATGCATGCTGGTGTGCGTGTTGAGCGTTGCGCTTAGTGCGGCCGCGTATTGTTCCCAAAAGCCTGTAGCTACAGAGTTGGGTTCAAACATTTCGTGAAGGGGTGGTTTGGAAGAGAGAAATACATTTCCCACCAATTTTGTATTTGCAATAGAAATTGTGAAATGGAAGGAATATTATCGCTCGGTAAAATCTGGACTTTTCCATTTCACTTGGTTTCGCCTCCTGGAATAAGAAAGTCCAGATTTTACCTTGCAATAATATTCTTCCCATTCCACTCTGAGCCACTCAATATTTGTATATCATTGAGTGAACTAGTGTGTTAATCTTTGATCAATACTAGATGTATGCACATGTATGCATATGTGTCAGTTTCTGTGGTTCAATTACGCCTCAATTTTACAAACTATCGGTACATGTACATTTGCTTTTCACATTGGAAGTCTTGGATGCCAATGCTACAAGAAGTTCAGTGCCACAATTTGGAAGTCAAATGTACATTTGAGACACCAACCAATTAAATTGCAGAGCCACCACAAGTTCCCTTCAATTCAAATATAATTTCCGATTGTCCACGCACATGTGCACAATTGTTATCACATTATTACCGACAGTCTAAACAAGCCTTCTTTCAAAATGACAAAAAATTATCATACTCAAGATTTATGTGCCACACAGTACAGTGAAAGGTAGAGTAGGACGATTGTATATTTATACAGACCGATTGGAATGGAAACTAAATACTGCAAGCTTTTTGCATACAAGTGCTGCTGCAGTTGACTGAGACCCGCAGTCTCCTCCTCCTAAGAAATATCAATACAACTGGATGCCTGACATTTTGGTGCTGACCCGAGGTGTTTTTTTTTCTTTTCCTTTTAGTTTCCTCTCTCTCCCCCCCCCCCCCCCTTTTTCCACCGAATCTCTCTGTGGACTTGGCTCCGTTCCTTTCTTATGTTCTCTCAGGAAGATTTTTTTCTTTTCTTTTTTGGAGATCCTAAGCTCAGTCTTAGCTTTGATTTGTGGCCAAGCCAAATGAGGTAGTACACGTTTCGTTTGTTGTTGCTTGCCTCATCTCCAAGGAAATTTCACACGCATACATTAAGCAGCAACCACTCCTCCCAACACACATTGTCTTTAATTGAATATTTTCTTCAATTTGTGTGCTGTGTTTTAGATTTATTAGTAGCTTATTATCAAAATTAGTACCAAAATAATTGAAAGTTGCTGATAAGCTTCAATTTTGGTATATATTGGTCTCATAATTTCTCTGAATGTTAAAGTTGTCTTCTCAATTTTGTTTATCCCTAGTGAAAAACAATTTTACACAATCTACCGGTATTTCCTATGTTTGTGGAAATTATTTATCTGTAAATCAAAAACAGGATTGAAAATCTGTCTGGTTCAAATTCAGAATTTCCTACAAAAAAACAGGCGCTTGGCCGTGCCATCTGCCACAATGTCCACACACAACTCTCCCCTGTAAGTTAATCTCTTGAAGAATGGACCTCCTTAAACCCAGTGCCCGTTCCAGTGTACCCATGTACACATGATGAGAGCTGTGGAGAATGCATTTAATAAGAGAGGTTTATTGCATCTTGGCCAGCTGATCAATTCCTAGAATTCATCCCTAAGCACCATCAACTCATTTTTTCCTTCTTGTTTACCAGGATTTACTCACGGTGCCTCTGGTTAAGGGGTGAATGTTTTGTTACAGATTCCTTGGACATAAGCTGCAATAATCCATTTTTAATGAAAATTCATTGTTTTTTTAAGTCTGGAGCTTTAACAGAGCTGTAGATTGATCTACGCTTGTTATGGCGAGGTGGAGAAATGCTTGCATGTAAATGGTCATGTATATTACATTGTAGATTATTTTAATCCCCATTATTTTAATTCATAGTAATACTACAAGGCCTTGTTTTTAAGCACAAGTTGCCGACAAGCCAAAATATGTTTTTGTTGCAAAAATTATACATGTTAACCAACAGCCCTATTTCTTGTGTGCTCTCTCTTTTTTATTGATTGTTTGTTGTTTTTTATTCCCCCCCCCCCCAAATGGCAGTGCATCGTCCCCCGTTCAAGGCTTGTTCCCCCTCCCCCTCCCCACTCTCTCCCCTACCCCATTCAGAAATTGGGAGAATACATAAATGAGTTTTATATTATTACAAAACCCAGTTATTCAACTTCCCAATAGCAAGATCAAGTTACTGTTAAACATACTGAGAATCCCTTAAGAATCACCTGTTTACCAAAAAAAAATGTGGTTTCTTTTCTCTGTTTACTGCAGGTACAACAGAACGTGTAGCATTGATAACAGGTACCGTAGATGCCCTCAACAACGTGTGTTCATTCATCATCGACAAACTGAAGGAGTCTCAGCAACAGGTGACCAAGACGGGAGTGGAGACGAATTTGATACCACCAGACAGAGCGAGACAGGTAATACATAAGGTCAAATTGCACAGACCAGACAGGTGAACAGACACGGTCATATTAGAAAGAAAAACAGGTGTAAGTTGATGGTATTTTGCAAAATATATAAATATAGATTATTACCTTCGCCAGGGAGGTTATGTTTTCATCATGTTGGTTGGTTGGTTTGTCTGTTAACAAGATAACTCAGAAAATTATTGACGGATTTCCATGAAATTTTTTGTAGGGGTGGTCCTTGGATCTGGGTCTGGATCCAGGACTTTTTTAAAGGATTCTGCACAGTTTATTCGAGTATTTCTTTTGCATGTACTGACAAGCATGTCAATAGATGGCGCCCTCCAACACTCACAGTCATCAATTATTTTTGCCAAATATTTTGATTTTCGCAAGGCAAAATTTTCCAGCCAACTTCTGAAATGCAGCAAAATGCCACAAAGACTGATTCGCAGGAGTCATTTCTACAGTATTTGTACAAATATTTTTTGCCGAAACCCCATGTTTCAATACTCTGAGTTGTGCACTGGAGCGTAAATTGTAGAACATAAGGCCGTGCACAGCAGCCAATTCACGATCAACACACGGTCCGCCTCCACAGACTTCACAGACTTTGTGTACATGTATGTGTACAAAAGACACGAGGGATTAGCATGTTGAGACATCAGGCGAGTCAAGGCAAGCTTGACGTTTTAACCCGTCAGCCGTGCCTGTGTATAAAAACAGCCAGTACGTGTTACCACGTCCTCGATGAGAACAGGTTAAGTAAGCGCAAGTACACATGTTCACAGTGAACCTGTAGTCAAAATAAGAATCATCATACAGGTAACATTGATTTGATATGCTGCGAGACAAGGAACACCAGTAACTGTCCAATAATGGAGTAGGGCCTGAGGCAAGCAATGCAAAACATAAGCAGGAAAGGTGTACCTGTGGGGGTGTCTGTTACTGGGTCATGGAAAGTAGGCTGGTAATGTCATCACACATGGCCATTATGGAGCAGTACTGCAACATGTGGTAAGTACAGGTCTGTTCCAGTCAAAACATACATGTAAGGCAAACCTAAGACAGACTCAACAAGTCTGATAATTAGAAAACACTAGATCGCTTGTGTGGTGTACGTGCCCTGCTGTTTCATTAACATTGCCATGACCAGGTGACTTCATGCTCAAAAAGGACAAAAAGGAACTACTGTGAAAAAAAATAACACGGTTGGCATATCAAATGTGATGCGCATTCACTGGAAGCCGGAAAATGAACATATGTGGTCTGTTTTTTGTGGCTAGTACTAGTAGTACTGTAATTTGAGCTACATGTACCGGTATGATGTGTAAAGCCACACTATACATTTACATACATGTACATTGTACAATGTACATACACGCTCCATAATTAAACTTGAGATATTCCTTCATTAATTAACCCTAACTCCCTAGCATAATTTACTAGGAACCATACCCATTCTGGCAAATTCCAACACCATATGGGAACCTGCACACACATATTTCTGACTTTGATTCTGGAGGTGTGCCAAACTCAATGTAAAAGTGGAATCATTGGGAAAACTGGTCCACATTCTAAGTCTTGACAAGATGGAGTAGTCTGTAAGACTGTAAACTAAAAATGATGAACTCCTACATGTACTCTTGACAAAACACAGTCTAGGGTCAGATCCAGAGAGCAGGACAGACAGCGTATACAGAACGGAACAAACTCATTATTCTAAAATTTCACATCGTCAAGTCTGTGATTTCTCTGTTCCTGTTTTGGGGGCTCTCCTTTTTTATATGGGTTAAGTGGTGTGTGTGTCTCCCGTGAAATCAAGTCAGATTTTTTTTATGTTGGCTGTCGCGCAACAAAATGCATGCGAGTTGAATTGCTGATGTTTCCTTTTTTTTAAGGCTCGCGGTGATAAATTGTGTTCGGCATTGCTAATGTATACTGTACAATGTAATGGTTTGTTAAATTTGTATCGGAGTGCTTGGTTCCTTGTGTTCTTCTGGGCCTGATGTGAGCATATGGCCAGCAACTTCAAATGGCAATTGGCAGTTCTGGCAGTATGGTGCCACATGTGGTGTCAAAGTACCGGGGTAATAAAAAAAAGGAGAGTGATTGATTTACCCTTGGAACAGAAATATTATTACAGTATGTCTGCATTCGAAGAGTCACTTCTATCAGACATTTTGATGTGATTTAGGTGCTGTAAATGCAAATTTCTTGCTCAATATATTTTGTATGTGTGCATATTGCTTTTGCTCATTTGGATTTATTTCTTAATGTACAGGTATTTGTGGTGTTTTTTTTTAAGTGTTTTTAATTAAAGAAATTTGAGGATAAACATCAAGATGCATAAAAATGTTCTTGATTTTGTGAAAACATACTTGCAGCGTCTTCTACAGTTTTTGTTGTAATTTTTTTTTTATCACCCCTTCAGACCTGTGCAGATATCCTGGGAACATGTACAATGTACATGTATGTACAATGTACATGTACAAACACATGTACTCCGGTTGACTCTGGTTGGACTCGAACCAGGTCACAACATACAATGTACCGGCACATACATACATACTGGTACGAGTGATTGCAAGGACATGTATCAAATGTGCTGGTACATCTGTATAGCCTTTACATTCCTTGTAAGTACATGTACCGTACATTTTACATACATGTACATTTGCACATGTACATTTGTACATACATGTAATTTGCATGTGTGGAATAACCAAACATGATCCAATTTTACGGGCAAAGCTTGGCAGTCAGCCAGGCTAACAAAATGTGGCTAATCATATTACAGGTCTCCAGAGGATCAATGTGACATCTCACCATTTTGCGCTAATGCACTTCAATATATAGCCACTGATAATAAAAAATGAAACAGATTGCTGCGTTTGTCTGGGATTCGGGGGGGGGGGGGGGGCTGAAACAAAAACGGGTTATCAAGATATGAGAATTTCCACATCTGCTTGATATTGGATCTATATATAAACATCTATAAATATGTACACGATATGCAATAAATTCAGAATATGAGCTGATCAAACTTTGGCATATTCCTCTTCTGGACAGACTGTTTCGGGCCATAAGGCACTCATCAGCAGAATGTCAAAATATAGAATACAAGTAGCATCTTACCTTATTTCGAATCAAGCGCGCATTATGCGCGTTATGTCATTGAAGTTAGTACGCGTTGAAGTAAGAACACACCTGTCTCAATGCCTGCACTTAGTGATGATTTCGCTTCTCTTATTTAGTGTACCTAGATCTGGCCTACATATGATTATGTACTTCTCTGCTATACACAAATTGCATCTCTTGTTTACGTTAGAGTATGGCAGTGCTTTCTGAACAATGTCCCATTTGATTTCATAGTCTATCCCCTCGTCCCTTAAGTCCCATATGGGTCATTCTATAAATTTGGGGTCCAAAGTGTGACATTTTTCCCGTCCCTGTTACCTTGGTACTTTGTAATTTGCCATTCAAGCATCATTACAAGTGACTTCAAATGATTGTTTATTTGTTGGGTAGGTAGTTTGCTATTCATAATCACTCTTGGAGGATGACTGCATTAAGGAGTGCATCAGAATTATACAATCATAGATGTCAGATGTAACAGGGACGGGAAAAAAAGTGGACCCCAAATTTATAGAATGACCCATATATGTTTACTTAGCTCTGTTTGCGCCCTCTTGCTCTTGGATCTGCTGGATCTGCTTAGATCTGCTGTTTAATCCAACTAACATTTTGTGTTAGCTGGATTAAATTGGAGAGCTGTTCAGCGTTAGTTGTCATATGGGAAAAGAGCTCACCAGAATAGGAGCCTTCTTTAATTGATTGCTCCCCTTTTGTGATAACAGGTTGGAATAAATTTAACTGTTGTCCACACGACTGCCCATTTCTCTATGTTACTAGAGAATTCTGTTTAATTGAATGTTTGTTGAGTGGGTTGGAGGAAAAAAACAACGAGAAATTTCATCTTCACAGCTGGCGTGGTAAAAGTAAATTGATGGCAACGTGTGTTGTGAGATAACTCACACGTAGACAGTTGTCGCACGTAGACAGTTGTAACACGTTATCACAGTTCTGGTTTGTTTGTTTTCAAGAAGGCTGAATTTTTTGCATGGGTAAAGGTTCACAAGTGAGCACCATGTACTCAATTCATCCAGCGTACTCTTACAGACCAGCTGTTCAAAAGCACATTGCAATTTCACGGAATTTCTGGTTCAAATTTTATGAAAGAATTTCCATGAACATGTACATAAAAATTGGACTCTAAAAAGGGACTACTACATGTACACGTAACATTAGATCATGTATGTGAGTTCAGTGCTAAATTGAATACCTGTGCAAAGAACTACAGATGGCGCTATGTAAACTGCACAATATGGACGAATCCAGGCATGCATACAAACACCATACACTCACATATAAAACATAGGGCCCCTTTTTAAAGGGAATATACAACATTTGCAAACATCGAAAAATAAAACTACCAAGTTTTTGCGAAATACCTTAATAGGATGTTGGTAAATGACAGTCTAAAGCATCCTGTAAAATTATGGCACCTGGTATACTGTCATTTTCAAGAAAAGTGGTATTTTTGTATCAATTTCCAACGCTGATCGGCCGATCAGCGTTGGAAACAACTGGCTTTTTTTTCAAATACTGGCCCAATTGACCATTGCACTTGTTTGCAATCGATTACAAACCTATGAACGGGTACGAGCCAGCTAGACTGGTTCCCTGACCTTACAATTCCCCAATGTATGTAAACTGCTCTGTTTCTTCTTATATGGAGTCAGGGGACCAGACTACAGGAAAATGATCGTTTTTCTTGGTTTTTATAGCATTTTCGAACCCAAAACCTCCAAAAAGTCAGTGTAACTATATTTGCTTTATATTTCCAACCCCCCAATTCCATCCATTTCTGAAAATTACAGCAAAAGCAAATGATGTATATTCCCTTTAACACTAAAAGCATTATGCCAGAGCAACTGTTCCATGACTGT